TCAGGTACATGATACACCTCACTAGGAGACCTAACTTTTTTTAAAATCCACCATCCACTTACCCTTGATAGCTGCAGTTGAAGAGTTGCTCATATAGAAAATTGTTACATCACTCACTGATTCATTACTGGTGAAGAGATTCTTGTCATTGCAAACATGTCTTGTTGCTCCCAAGTCAATCCAACAATTTCCTACATCCTCAAACATATTCACCTTAGATATTACTGCCACAAATTTATTCTTGGTATCCGACACATATGGTTTCTTCTTGTAAGATTAATGTTTGTTCTCGAAGTGCCCAAGCATGCCACAGTGTCGACAAGAATCTTTCTTCTTTTCTGAGTCTTGATCAGATTGCAAATTGCACTTACACTTTCCTTTGTTAGACCATTTGCAATCCTCCACCATGTGGACCTTGAAAACTTGAGCCCCTTGGACAACCTTATTTTCAAGTAGCATTGACTCTTCCTCCACTCGGAGGTATTAAGCCAATTCTTCAAGAACAAGTATCTTTCTTTTTTGTATTTAAGGCTCTTTTTAAAATCTTTCCAAGAAGGTGACAGTTTGTCTATATATAAAATTGTAACAGACTCATCTATATTCATATTTTGTTTTCTAAATAGACTAAGTGTTGTTTTGGGAAGTGACTATTTTAGTTGGTTTTTTGGCTTTTTACGAAAAGACGTTCAAAAAAGTAGAGAGGAGTTGACATTTTGGTAGTGCCTTTTTGGCTCTTTAACTATTTTAGGTTGTTCCCAAAACAACCCTAAGAATATGTGTATCTCATGCAATTGTTCCATGATAGGTTTATAATCAACCATAACTTGAAACATACAATTAACAAGAGATTTCTTACTGCATCTTCGGATAAGTATTTGGACTCTAGTATCCTACACAGTTCATTTGCCGTTTCCACTTGTTGGTACATATCGAATAGCAAATCTAACAACACATTCAGAATATGTCCTTTACAGATGTTGTCATCATTTTCCCACTAGGTCCTGGTCTGAGTTTGAGCCACCGTCTCTTTCAACATATAGACCACGTTGAGAGTGGTGAGTTGAGTTTCTTTTACCAACGCTTGAAATTGCCTCCATCAAAATGGTCTAACTTCATGAAATCTTTAGTCATTTGTTGGAGTGATCTTGCCATAATATTGTCTTTAGATTGTTGAAAAATTGATCTTCAACTCTAGTATGTTTGAGAGCCTTTAATGGATTGACAGAAATTGCTTCAAGTCACATTATTGAGTCGCTTTCTAAAGACAATATTTACCTCAACAGAAAGAGTGCACCGAGTTTGTAGCAAACTTGCCTCCAAGAAACAATGAAGTTGGATCTAATGATCGTCTACTTGTGGTTGCATATACCAAAGTAGACCAATATACTCTTGATACAATCAAGAGAACTAAGACACAGTTATTCAAGTCTGCAGGAAATGAATACAAGAAAATAGCAAAACAAAAAACTATTTTGGGGGCAAGAGAGAGGAAAGGAGGGAGGGGAAGAGAGATACAGAGTAGAATTGAATTGAATTGCAGAATATTTCTAAATTTTGGGATGTACAAAATGGCATTCACCTTTAGACCAATGCGCATCCATTTGTACATGTGTCTTTTACTAGCATCAATTTGGATTCAATCGAGGCCGTTCCATCGCATGCGGACTCGATTAATGGCTATGATAATAACTTGATCCGTTCAGACATGACCGCTAAGCAATTACTAATTGTTGATTGTTTGATCAATGGTTAGACTTGTCTGTTGGCCACCTAGATGCCACGACAGTGCATGTGAGGCATCCCCTTGTTGAAGTGGGAAAGGAAAATGACGCCTCAATACGCCTTGCAACAATGAGTACATGCAAAGTGCAATATGCGCCATTGAAGTCCCATATTGTGCCACACAGTGCACTGTCCGCGCTACATGCACGTATGCTTGTGCAAATGGTGAGTTGCACCGTCCTTACGGTGCAGGTGCATGCACACTAACATCCTTCACATTTCTCTATTCAAGAGAAATAAGGATGATTTGAAACACCCAAACCAAATCAAGTCTTAAATCCCATCAAATAGAGTTAGCTACATAAATCCTTCTTCTCCACTCAACTCTATCAAAGGTCACTTGGTCAGTCAAATTAAGGAGATTCATATCTCTATTTACTACACTAGTTCACGTCAATCTAAGTTTGTCTTTTCCCCTAACACTTCCCTCTTCACTGTATCGCATCTCTTCACTACTGTCTCTGTTGGTCTCTGTTGTATATGACCTAACCATCTCAATCTATTCTCTCTCAGCTTATCTTCTATCGGTGCTATTCCTACCCATACATGAATATACTCATTCCTAACTCTTTCTTTTCTAATTTTGTCACACATTCACCTTAGCATCCTCATCTCAGCAACACTCACCTTATCTACATGTTTTTTAGTTGTCCAACATTCCGTCCGATACAACATTGCTAGTCTAATAGCCATTTCTTTTTAATCTAGTGGCTACTCGTTTATCGCACAGTACCCGAGACGCACTCCTCCACTTAAGCCACCCCGCCTTAATTTTATAGATCACATCTGCTCCAATCTCCCCAACTGTTGTGATAATTGATCATAAATAACGAAAAAGTTCACACTTAGGTAGTTCTTAATTCTCAATCTTCACTTCTCCTCTGTTTTTATTGTTACTATTACTAAAATTACACTCCATATACTTTGTCTTAATTGTGCTTATCCTAAATCCTTTAGATTCAAGTGTTTCTCTCCAAGTCTCTAACTTAGCGTTAACTCCTTCTCTATTCTCATCTACTAACATGATATCATCTGCAAAAAGCATACACCATGGCACATCATCTTGAATTTTTTTCGTCAACTCATTTATAACAAAAGCAAAAGGATAAGGATTTAAGGCCGATCCTTGGTGTAACCCCCATAGTAATTGGAAATTTACTTGTCTCTCCGGCCGGCAATCTAATAGTGGTCACCACACCTTCATGCATGTCCTTAATCACATCAATGTATTCTTTTGTTATCCTTTTTTTCTCTAACACTCACCAGATTATGTCCCGAGGTACTCTATCATATGCTTTCTCAAGATTGATAAAAACCATATGAATGTCTCTTTTCTTCCCTCTATACTTCTTTATTACTCTCCTCAAAAGATAGATCACTTCCATTATTGACCTACCAGGCATAAATCCTTATCTGACACCTCTGTTATATCTTGCAATCAATGTTCCATCACTCTCTCCCACACTTTCATTATATGACACATCAGTTTGATTCCTCTATAGTTGTTACAATTCTGGACATCTCTTTTATTTTTATGAATTGGCACTAAAATACTCTTCCTCCACTCTTCTGGCATTTTCCTAGTTAACAAAATCTTACTAAATAACCTAGTCAACCAAATAACTCCATTCTTATCCAAACATTTCCAAGCTTCAACAAGGATATCATCAGGTCCTAAAGCCTTATTCGATTTCATTTTCTTAAGCGCAATCTCTACTTCAAAGTTCCTAATTCTATAATAGAACCTGTAGTCTTTGTTTTCTTTATTACTACTTCCTCCCCTTTTGCCATTCCTCTATGTTCCTTATCTAACAACTTCTCAAAATAGTTCTTCCACCTCTCCTTAATCTCTTCATCCTTCACCAACACCTTAGAGGCCTCACTCTTGATGCACTGAACCTAATTAAAATGTCTTGTTTTCCTCTCTCTTATCTTAGCAAGTTTGTATATTCTCTTCTCTCCCTCCTTACTATCTAGTTTAGTGTATAGGTCATCATAGGCTTTCAACTTAGCCTCTCTCACTACTTTTTTGACCTCCTTATTAGCCAATTTATAGCTCTCAAGGTCAGTTCTATCATTGTGCCACTTTTTAAAGCACTCTTTTTTCGTCTTGAAAACCCCCAATAGAGCGTAGCTATGGGATTAATAAACACCTAGGTGATATAGCTACAGGGATAAGAGGGTTCAGTTGGAATGATCTGAGGATGCCTTGATAAATGATATTATGCATTTCTGCTTGGTAGAAATAACTGGTGGAGTAAGGGTAAAAGTCAAATAAAGATGTTACAGTTTGCATGAAATGTGAAGTCCACCAGATTATTTCTTATCTTTATGGTTTATATTGAAACTGAATATGTGCTAATACGCAGTTGTTTGTTTCCTCCGACATTGTTGCTTTATTTTTATTTTTTTTGTTCTATCTCTGGCATACTTGTTAGCATGAGTTAACATCACTTCATTTGTGTGTTTCTTGTCTGGTGGTATTGACTTCTTTACAAACTCTCAGGATAGCTCTTTTGTTTGATATCTTCGTTGCATAACCACAAACATGCCATGAAATGGACACGCTGACAGGGTAAATTCTAAAAGATTAGGACATGAGCACGACATGTAAGAAAATATATAGTTTATTAGATATCTAAATATTTGGTTCTACCATTGCAAAAGGTGAATGCAGCTATATATGTATCAAGTAATCCGGTGGAATTTATTGTGTAAACATGTGGTATGGAAAGTGTTGGTTCTATCTAGCCATAAGCTGGTTGTATCAACTAATGGCAAAAGCACGGAACATATTAGATTTCAGAATTCTAGTGCATTTAGGCACAACTGATAAGTTGAATTAAGCCACCGTGATTGAATTGAATCTAAGCATTAGAATGATGAAATTACTGTGTATAATGCATAAATCAATTTTAGTCACTCAAGGGATGAAGATTCTAATGCCTCATATTTGAAGTCTAATGACGACTTCATTCTTTTAAGCTATGAGTGAATTTTCTCCCCAAGATAAGAATCTCTGCGGAGTATCTATTTGTGTGTTCATGCATTATGGAGTGTAAAGCTTCCTTCTTTGTGATTTCTAGACACTTCTACACTGACTTATATATGTTCTACAGTTCACTAATTGATACAAGTTGAACCTTTTATGGTATTACTTTTATCATTAATCAATGAAAAACAATTTTGTGACATCACTGATGATGGTCTTTCTGCAGTTCCTTTTTGAAGCTGTGATTTCTAATTTTGTTGAACTAGCAACAGACCGTCATGGCTGTTGTGTGCTTCAAAAGTGCCTTAGCCATTCTGATGGTGACCAAAGGCGTCGTTTGATTTGCGAGATCACTTCAAATGCTCTAGGATTTGGGAAGGGAAATGGAAAGGGAAATGGAAATGAAAGGAAAAGGAGAAAGAATTAATAGAATTCCAAATCCCAACTATGTTTGGTTGTGTTGGTTATAAAATAGAATTGATGTCCTAAAAGGTATCCTATTTGTTTATTTATTTCTCACCCCCTTTCTTTTCCCATATATTTTTTATTATAACCAAACATAAATAGGATTACATTTCTCATTCCTTTTCCAAATCCCACCTCAAAAACTCCAACCAAACACAGCATTAATGTTATTTGCTTGTAGACAAGAAAATTGGTTACAATGATGCTTGAGTTATTGCTAGAAAACCATATACTTTAAGAAGCTTATTATGCATAAATAGATTACTGTTTGTGGGTTTTGGAATTGAAAACCTTAGTTGATTTATCAGATGTTTGTGGGCAACATATTAACAGTTCATATTAAATAAGGTATCACAACTCAACTGCATTCTTGTTAAGGTTATAACAATGTTAAAGTTTAAGTTAACGTGCTACAACAGAAATTTAATTTCAGTATATATATTTTATACACAGTATCATGTATAAGTCGCTCATGGCGCACTCCCTAAGTCGCCCCCTTGGTGCACCACCACAACCTCTTCTACATCGGTCCGACATGTGTTAAAAAAATACTGTATTATTGATTGTTGTTATTTTGATGTGTTATATTACAAATCAGAGTAGCTCATTATATAGGAGAGAAGGTGGTAGTAGGTGTAGTGTAGTGGAGGTGGTAGGTGAAGTGGGTGGTAGTGGAGATGGTTGGTGGAGGAGTAAATTGGTAAATTCTAACAGCCCCCCGCAAACTCAAGGAGGATAGAAACTAACCAACTTGAGTTTGGAGAGAGGAACAAAACAAGAAAATACATAAAAATAAAAATAAAATAAAATAAAAAGATAGGAGACACTGTATGGTCGTGTCAGACCGTTGGTGAAGATACGGAAAGGTGGTGCCATAACGTGGTAGAGGACACTGGATGGTGGTGTCATAACATTGTAGACGACACTGATGGTGGTGCCATAACGTGGTAGAAGACAGTTTATGGGGTTATACACATAAACTGTATCAATCCCTTTGTTTCAACCTCAAATAGGTTTCTACCTTCACACCTATTTGAGTTTGAGGGGGGTTATACACAGTATCATGTATAAGTCGCTCATGGCGCACTCCCTAAGTCGCCCCCTTGGTGCACCACCACAACCTCTTCTACATCGGTCCGACATGTGTTAAAAAAATACTGTATTATTGATTGTTGTTATTTTGATGTGTTATATTACAAATCAGAGTAGCTCATTATATAGGAGAGAAGGTGGTAGTAGGTGTAGTGTAGTGGAGGTGGTAGGTGAAGTGGGTGGTAGTGGAGATGGTTGGTGGAGGAGTAAATTGGTAAATTCTAACAGCCCCCCGCAAACTCAAGGAGGATAGAAACTAACCAACTTGAGTTTGGAGAGAGGAACAAAACAAGAAAATACATAAAAATAAAAATAAAATAAAATAAAAAGATAGGAGACACTGTATGGTCGTGTCAGACCGTTGGTGAAGATACGGAAAGGTGGTGCCATAACGTGGTAGAGGACACTGGATGGTGGTGTCATAACATTGTAGACGACACTGATGGTGGTGCCATAACGTGGTAGAAGACAGTTTATGGGGTTATACACATAAACTGTATCAATCCCTTTGTTTCAACCTCAAATAGGTTTCTATCTTCACACCTATTTGAGTTTGAGGGGGGTTATACACAGTATCATGTATAAGTCGCTCATGGCGCACTCCCTAAGTCGCCCCCTTGGTGATTGTGTAAACCCTCTGTATCATGTATAAGTCGCTCATGGCGCACTCCCTAAGTCACCCCCCCTTTTTCTGCACTTGGTATGACTTTATATAGTCTCCAATGTGATTGTTGGAATTGGTTCATTTCCCCTGCCATTCCTTACGTTTCTCCCACTTCTTGTGGGATCATGTTCCACTAGCGCAGAATTTTAAGAGTGATCGGCCCAAATAATTAGGACCATGCTTTGATCAAGTCTGCTCGTAAGGGATGCCTTGTGGACCTGTCTTTTTGGGCCTAGTCCCTTGGACCTCTAAACCTGGCCCTTTGGACCTACGTCCCTGAATCCTGCTTGGACTGCTCTGTCAAGTCCAACCATTGCTCCGTATATTCAGCCGCTTTGTAGTCTTGCTTAGACTCTAAGCAGTTGTTGCTGGGCTGCAGTTCGGTTCAGAATGCTCGGACCAAGCTGACTTCCAATCCTACTCGGCTGAGATTAGATTTTACTTCCCACATAAATAAAGCCCACATCTTCGATAGAGCCTCAAACATAGAAATTTCTACATTAATTAATTTTCAAACAACCTCTCCATCTTCACATAAAACACATTAAAGATCAAATGCATTTGCTTCTTTCCATGTCCACCGTCTTCCGTCTTCCGAGCCCAACTAAACTTCTGCGAGCAGGTCTTTCTTCGCTCGAGCATTGTTTCAGTCACTCGAGTGATGGTTTGTTTGCAGTCTGAACTTCTGAGAGTTCAGATTCTACGTTCAAGCAGTGTTTTGTTCACATAAGAGATCTGTTTTGTATGGTTAGTCTTTTGGGAGTTTGGTATCTTCGCTGGAGCCCAAGTTTGTTCGCTCAAGTGGTCTGTGTGTATAAAGTTGCGGAGAAAAGATCTGTTTATCACTTTTCTGGTCTCTCTCTCTCTCTCTCTCTCTCTCTCTTTATATGGTCTCTAGACCCATTTTTCTTCTCTCTCATTCCAAGAGGCAATTTGTATTTTAAGCAAACCTCAGGGGGTGTATTTGTAATTTACCCTATATATTAATAGAGTCAAATTTTAACAAATTAATTAGAGAGTCGCTATTTCCACTCCACTTGGCTTCAAATACACTTCTTCTTTGTCCTTATTATACATAGTTACATTAATACCCTTGGAATTTTGATTTTTTCAGGGAGTGTATTTTTTGTGAAAGGGTATTAATGTAACTATGTATGATAGGGACAAAGAAATGAGTGTATTTAGAGTAAAGTGGAGTTGGAATAGCGACTCCCATTAATTAACTTTGTTGCACCAAAACAAGACAAAAAAGAAAAGAAAAGGAAGACACTTCCTTTTTTTTTCAATTTGGGTATTTTTTTTTTTTTCTTTTTCCATGTTTTGTAAGTTCTTTATTATAGTTTTTTCCTTAATTTTTTTCGGGATGGGTGATATGTCTTTAAACATATTTTCATAAGAAACATTTTGAGATGTTTGCCATTGATTTAACAAGCATTACAGCCTTCTATTAGCAGGATGGCAGAATGATGCCCAATGCAAATAGATACAAGATTTTATTAGTCAGGTTCAGTACCTTCAGCAATGTCAAGTTGTAAAATTGTTCCCTTTAATGTTATTTGCTTGTAGACAAGAAAATTGGTTACAATGATGCTTGAGTTATTGCTAGAAAACCATATACTTTAAGAAGCTTATTATGCATAAATAGATTACTGTTTGTGGGTTTTGGAATTGAAAACCTTAGTTGATTTATCAGATATTTGTGGGCAACATATTAACAGTTCATATTAAATAAGGTATCACAACTCAACTGCATTCTTGTTAAGGTTATAACAATGTTAAAGTTTAAGTTAACGTGCTACAACAGAAATTTAATTTCAGTATATATATGTCATCTGTTAGGTTTTTTTTACTTTCTTAATCAGCTACTCACGGGCGGCCAAGAGGAGGCTGCCGCCCGCCGGTGAAGCAGAATTACTAGCTTCTCAACCTTGCTCTGATACCATGTTAAAAAAATACTGTATTATTGATTGTTGTTATTTTGATGTGTTATATTACAAATCAGAGTAGCTCATTATATAGGAGAGAAGGTGGTAGTAGGTGTAGTGTAGTGGAGGTGGTAGGTGAGTGGTGGTAGTGGAGATGGTTGGTGGAGGAGTAAATTGGTAAATTCTAACATATATGTCATCTGTTAGGTTTTTTTTACTTTCTTAATCAGCTACTCATTATGTCGTTATCACCGATGATGTACCCAGTGGTCCTAACTAATGGGGGACTTCACACCCTGTGCTTACAGTTTGAGGGTTAACTGTATTTGACTCTTGACTCAGGAAATATTTTTGGTATAGGATTTGTTCAAAGAATGAGGAGACCAAACAATTTATTTCATTTCTTGTTGAATGAACTACAATATTTTTCAATAGGTATTTTGTATCCATCTTTGCATCTTTATGTTTTGCTTAGAATTTGGATTTCAATCTTGCAGGAATTATGTTGTGCAATTTGTGTTTGAAATTGAAGATCCATGGGCAACAGTTGATATTCTTGACCAGCTGGAGGGTGACTATGGGGACCTGTCCATGCAGAAATATAGCAGTAATGTGGTTGAAAAATGCCTGAAATATGCAGGAGAGGAAAGCCAATCTTGTATTATTCACGAGTTGATAAATAATCGTCGTTTAGATCAAATCATGCAAGACCCCTACGGAAATTATGTTATCCAAGCAGCGTTAAATCATTCGAAGGTTAGAAATTTCCTCCTCTGAAAGTGCTATCTTCGTCTAGGTGTCTGTTTTCTCTCTCTCTCATCTATATCTTTTGAGTGCTAGCAAAGATCATCACTTTGTAATCGTCCATCATATATAATCTAGGTTCATTAATATCTGTAAGTATATATGTTTTATGCATATAATTTTACAATGGCCACCTCTTAATGTGCCCATTGCCCAAATATTGTCGTGATCCAACTGTTTTAGTTGTTGTTTGTTTTAACCCATCTCCTGGGTGGCTTAGACATAAGCGAGCACTACTACAGGAAGCAGTTACAGAGATAAAAGCTGGAATCAAGTTAGAAAAACAAAAATGATATTGAAAAAACAAAATAATAGTAAGATTTGGGATGATTTGTAAAGACAAAATTTCCCATTTAAAAAAACTATTACTGTGCTATAGATCTCAATATTTCATATCATTTTTTAAGTTTCGGTTTACAGTGGTTTGGAACTCTGTTTTATTGAATTTGGAGAGGCCTTGATGTGGAATGTGTGTGCACCATTGACGTTTTAAATGTCAAGTTAGAGCAGCAGAAGACATGGAAATCAGGATCACTTTAGTAAAAAGCATCTGGTATTTGTGGTCTAGGCTAGGTTAAGTTCAGCCTATGAAGCATGGGTTCTTGGACAAACATGGTGTACCCGTTCCGGGTACTTACCAAGTACTGGTACTTCGTATGATATTTCTGTATATGTATCGGGTACACGAAACATATATCCCAATTTTTCCTTTTAATTTTTGCTGTACCGCAGACGTACCTGCTATATATTCAACCCATACCTCAGTCGAAATACAGGGATAAAATTAGTTTCATTGGACTTTTTATTTTTATTTTTATGGTTCTTAAGCTTAGCATGATTTTAAAATTTAGCTATGGTTTGTAAATTATTTAATATAATGACATTTAATTTTGATTTATACCTTTACTTTTGGCATTAAATGTGACTTGAAGGTTGGAGCATAACGAACTAAATCATTAAACTAATTTTTTCAATACTCCAAATTAAAGATAAATATTTTTCTACAAACATACCCAACTGTATCAATACCCTACTATTTTTATATTTTACTATATCGACATACCCATATCGTGCGGGCTTCATAGAGTTCAGCTATGAATGTAATAAAACAAATTACTAGAAAGATTTTCAGATTCACCCCTTGAGTGTTCATCTAGGAAACAAATTGTTTTGAATCTGTTCAGACAAGAGTCCTACGCAGGTCTTGTGGGTCAACTTTTTTCTTTTTTCTTTTTTTTTTTTCCTTATATATTATCTATCTATATATATAAGATCTGGCCTCTGAGCATCTTACTGCTACATGGAATTCTAAAACGTGTTCAATTTAATGCACATGGTGGAAAAATCATGACATGGAATGCTTGTGAACCATTCTATTCTATGATCCTTAGAAACCTGCTCCCACATCGGTGTCATAAAATATAGAATGAAATAATGTTGAATTTATATATTTAGTAGCAGCAATTAGCTGTGTATTTCATTATTACATTTCCTTACAGCATGTTCTTGGGATATTACTAATTTGCCACTAATAAAGAGGTCAAGGTAAGATTTATGGATTCAATGAAGACAAATATTTTCATTTGTAATGTGGATGACATATATATGTTCTCTTGTTGAGTAGGGAAGTCTTCATGCTGCATTGGTGGAGGCCATAAGGCCTCATGTTCCTGTGCTCCGGACCAGCCCATATGGGAAGAAAGTCCTTTCAAGCAATGGTCTCAAAAAATAACCCCTGGGGTATGATCAATTATAGCTACAACAGTATCTCTTTCTTAGGCCAAAAGTATCGAACTTTAAGTAATTTAAATTGTGGTATTTTCTGAATTTTTGCAGGGTAGGGTACTGAATGTTTCCTCTAATGCTATGAATTTTGTAATAAACAAAGGATGAGGAGCTCTGAACCCAGCCTTTACAGCCTGATCTCGAGATTTTCAAGCTTTGTACTTTAGGAGGAGAAGTTTAATGGTTAGAGCTAACTTTTACATCTCATCTGAAAAGATGAAAGGTGACTTTTCAATTTAATTTAATTGTAAAGTCCAGCCCACACTTCTTAAAACTCAAGTGTTAAACAGAGGGAAACTGGAGTCTTATAACCAGCACAGATTGGGCAATTCCAAGTGATGTGAGACACATTCTAACACACCTTCCTAGACCACAACATATAGTAGCCAGATAAACGGCACACCAATCACAAGCCCAACCAACTGGTGTGGCGTTTGTCTGGTTACTGTATGTTGTGGTTCAGGAGAGTGTGTTAAAATGTTTATCACATCGCCTGAAGCTGCCCAATCTATGCTGGTTATAAGGTTTCAATTTTCGTCTCATTAATATCTGGGTTTTAAGAAGAAATGTAAGCTGAACCTTTCAATTTCAAATTAATTTCCATTTTGACTATCAGAGAAAATTTGACATAACATTCACGTGTTTGTAGATTTTCTTTTCTTTTCTATTCTTTTCTTCTTCTGTTTTTTTCGGTTGGCATAGAAATAAAGAAATTCAAAGTGAAGAGTTGGGAAGTTGTAATTTGCCTACGCTTTTTTAATCAAACATCTTGGCCTCTTGGGGTGGTTGCAGGATGTCCGTTGAATTACTTGGTTTTAGTCATTTTGTGCGATAATGTATTTAAAAGAGCCGTGATGAACTTTTGTATATGTTGTCTTATATTATATTATGTATATATATATATACATGGCTCTATTTGTTAAAGTTGTATCATTCATTAACACATTCAATTTTTCTTGTTTAGTAAACCATAAATTTTTTTTTTTTGGATGATGTTCTTTTATAATTGCAACAAAATAATTAGTATTTTTCAACTGATACGAGTAGGATAACTAATAAAATTTGTCCGAATGGCGCCGTAAGTAACTCTTGCAATATTTTGAGGATTATGGAAACAAATCTATTTGAATATCTTGGCTATCTACAAGTACAGCTACTCCCTGAATTATAATCTTCATCCATTGAGATCCTCATCATGCGGCCTCATTTTTCTTGTTCTTTAAAAATGGATTATTATGTTTGGTGTGAACGCATGTTTATACTTTAAAACTAATAACATCAGAATGGTGTGAAGGATTAGAATAATGTTTTAGCGGTCAAAATCAATGGATTAGAATGTTGAATTAGTAATGAGTTTGCATTTAAATTAATGTCTTTGATTTGTCTGATCAAATTTTTTACTTTTTCTTATTGATTGTAATTTGGATTATCCCCAACCATGTCTAAGGTCCAATTCGTATATGTTATATTTACAACTATTCAAGGAGAGACTTGCAATGGGAAAAAGTTCTATGTGTCGAATGAGGGGGAGAAATGTGATTGCATTGCCATTGAAAGAGAGAAATACTAGTTACAATTGGGTGTAACTTGTATTTTTGGGTAAGTCATTTTAATGTTGAATGAGAAAAAATGTTGATTGCATTGAGTATTATTGTTCTTTGATTGGCCATTGAATATTATTATTGAGAGAGAGAGACAGAAAGGGTAGGTTTGAACCAAAATCGGCACCAACTCTGGCTTGAACCTTGATCTCTAACTTTCACTAACTAAATAAATAAATAAACAAACAAAATGAACATAATACAATCCCTTAATTGAGTTCCTATTATTGATGTTGAAATAGAATGGAGTGGACTAGTGAGAATAATGAGCAACCCCCCACTGCATTTTATATTTTCACTTTTTTTTAGAAGAACAAGTTCATGACAGAAACCATACATAAGCCTCAGTATCAAAGAAACATATCAATTATGACACAAAGTATTTACATATTCCATTCCAGATGATGACAAGCCAAAGGGCCACAAATTACACTTTTTTAGGAAAATATCCTGGACTCTCTGCACTGTAGAAGGAGTAAGATGTAGCGCACCATCTAGCTTCCTTATATGCACCAAAGATATATATTTTGTAACAATGCGACCTCCTAAATTTCTTTTCCTGGAGAAGAAGCGATGGCGGTATCTGGGGAATAAGTATTGGCTAACTCTACGTCAGTAGCCGCGGTAATACAGAGGATGCAAGCATTATCCAAAATGATTAGGCATAAAGCGTTTGTAGATGACTTTTTAAGTCTACTGTCAAATTAGGGAGAGAAAACACAAATAAAAAATCAAAGTAAAAGAAAAAAAGAGAATTAAAAAATATTAATAATAATTAATGCTTAAATGAGTGTGGAAGTGACCATTTAAGGGCTGAGAAGGAAGGGGGTGGATATTTTCACTTTTTTTAAGAAATATAATTTTCTCCCATTGAACAAGTTCATGATAGAAACCATACATAAACCTCAGTATCAAAGAAACATATCAATTATGACACAAAGTATGTACGTATTCCATTCCAGATGATGACAAGTCAAAGGGCCACAAATTACACTTTTTTAGGAAAATATCCTGGACTCTCTGCACTGTAGGAGTAAGAGGTAGCGCACCATCTAGTTTCCTTATATGCACCAAAGATATATATTTTGTAACAATGCGACCTCCTAAATTTCTTTTCCTGGAGAAGAAGCAATGGCAGTATCTGGGGAATAAGTATTGGCTAACTCTACGTCAGTATCCGCGGTAATACAGAGGATGCAAGCATTATCCAAAATAATTAGGCATAAAGCGTCTGTAGATGACTTTTTAAGTCTACTGTCAAATTAGGGAGAGAAAACACAAATAAAAAATCAAAGTGAAAGAAAAAAAGAGAATTAAAAAATATTAATAATAATTAATGCTTAAATGAGTGTGGAAGTGACCATTTAAGGGCTGAGAAGGAAGGGGGTGGATTTGCCCTCGAGTTTGAAATCTCTTTGTTCTTAATCTACGCCATCTTTATCTGCATATGGATTTCAAGATGAATAGAGTTCAAGTTTGAAGTCTCTATTTCATATCTGCACCGTCTGTATCAACGTCTAGATTTGGAGATAAATCGAGTTCGACTTTTAAAGCTTTATGTTCTAGATCTACGCCATCTTCATTAGCTTCTGGCTTCAGAGATAAATCATGTTCAAGTTGTAGGCTTTTTGTTTCAGATCTGCACCGTCCTCATTTGCATTTGGATTTGAAGATGAATCAAGTTCAAGCTCGAAGGCTCTCTATTTTAGATCTATGCTTTTGTGAGTGCTTTCAATTCAATCTATCTGTTCTTTTTGTCTCTATAAACTCGAACTTATTATCTGCTTATATATATGCACATGAACATGTGAGAATATTAGGTTTTATGTATATATGGTAGTATATATATTCTATATACATTAGGGATTGAGCATATATTTTTGTTTTCTTTTTCAGTTCTAGGGTAAGATTGTTATATAAACCATTGTATTCTTGTGTTAGAAACACAATTGAATATACATAAAACATTCAAAAATTTTACAAGGTATCAGAGCCAAAACCGTAGAAACTGTTGCTCTCTCTCAGTAGTGGGTTGTGGGTGATCTTTTCCCCCAATCACGATATTGAAACAGGTTCTTGAATTTTCTCTCTCTAGTTCTTGACACTAATTCTTTGGTTTGCATCGCGACATCAGTTCAGTTACTGATTTAATTCCTTAGTCAAAGTCGTGCATGGTCTTCACTAGTTGAAGTCGAGTGGTCTGGTCTCCCTAGATCGATCAACTCTGGTTCGTGTTCATCAGAAGCCTCTCTCTCTCTCTCTCTCTCTCTCTCTCTCTTCAATTTCAGTTGATAGTAGTCTATTTTGGCTAAATTTAAACCACTGTTTCAAGTTTATTACACTATAACCTCTCAATTTTCTATTTATTCCACCTTGCCCCATTAGTATTCTTCTTTTGTTTTTTCTGGTTTATTATAATGTCAGACACCTCTTGAACAACTTTTGTTTTCTCTCTCTCTCTCTCTCTCTCTCTCTCTCTCAGCTTCTCTTCAATTTCAGTCGATGGTAGTTTGTTTTGGCTAAATTTAAGCCACTGTTTCAAGTTTATTACACTACAACCTCTCAATTTTCTATTTATTCCACCTTGCCCCATTAGTATTCTTCTTTTGTTTTTTCTGGTTTATTATAATGTCAGACACCAAACTCCAAGCTATCAGATGCAAACTTACTAGTGCCAATTATGCTTATTGGGCTAGTGTTATGAAGAATTTTCTTCTTGGTCAGAAAAAATGGAATTATGTTTTTGGTTTTGTTTCTTGTCCATCAAACCCAAAATAAGAAGGATATCTGACTTCTTGTGACACTTGGAATTGTGACAATGCCAAAGTTCTGACCTGGTTTCGTAATTCTGTGAATAACCATATTGGGATGATGTTTTCCAAATATAGTATCGCCAAAGAGGTGTGAGACTATTTATTGAGTGTGTATCAGTAGTCCAACTTTGCCAATCGATATGAGTTAGAAATAGCTATTCAGAGTGCTTGTCAGCGGGATCAGTCTATTCAGGACTTCTACATTGAGATAATAGGTCTCTGGGATAAGTTGGATATCCTGGAAGCATCTAGCCTCAAGGCACTAGACGCCTATGTTGAGTTTCGGGAACATGATCATTTAGTGCAGTTCTTAACGGTTCTCTTCCTTCAGTATGACGCTATCCGTGGCGGCATGCTTCACCAGTCTCCTTTTCCATCTGTGGATGCTATTGTTCTTGAGCTCTTTTCTAAGGAAACCCGTCTTAAGACTACCAGTCAAACTCCGTCTCCCTCTGTCTTCTTGGCTCCTACTCAGCCTCCTCTATTATCGACCCCACCTCTTCATCAGCTTCAGGCCATTGCGAAAGCTCAAGAAAGGGCCACTAGCTTCTGATAAGTGTGCATTTTGCCATCAAAAAAGCCATTGGAAGTACAATTGTCCTAAGAAGGGAAGTCAGTCTACTCCGTCTTCTCAGACACCTCAAACACAATTCAGAGGTCCTACTTCGAGTAATTTTTGGCCTCCTGCTGCTTATACTGCATTTGCTCTGGCTCTTAATCCTGATTTGGCTTCCTTGAGTGTCCAGATTGCTCAACTTCAGTATCTCTTGTCTACTTCTCAGCCATCCTCATTTGCCTCCACTTTCACCTCTTTTCATTGTTTACTTGGGTCCTCTTCAAGTATCTCCTCTTCTATCTGGCTTTTTTACTCTAGTGCCTTTTATCATATGACTCATTATCTTAAATTCAAAACTATATCCCCCAATTCCTCTGCCATATTTGTTGTTACTATTCCCTATGTTCTTTATATTTCTCATCTACCTGTCAGTTTATTATCTGTTAGTCAACTTGATACTTTTGGTTTTGATGCTATCTTTTTCTCTTCTGTCTGTTGTGTGCAGGATTGGGTGTCCAAGAAGCAAATTGGAATCGACTGTAGAGTTGGAGATCTCTATGTGGTCAAAAAGCTTGCATCTCCTTCTATCGACCTCTCCAGTTATACTTTTCTTATTTCAATTAAAGTCTTAGTCGAGTCAATTTTATTTATGGCATTCCCACCTAAGTCATTTGTTTGTTGATTGTTTACAGTCTTTAGCTCAGTTAGGATTATTGGATCAAGTTTATCCTAGTCAAATTGATGAATGTTGGGGGTGTAAACTTGTCAAAATATCAGCTTTACCATTTAATAAAAGTACTTATATTTCTATTTCTCTTTTTTCT